AAAAAAAAAAAAAAAATCACAGCGACAGAGCTTGTGTTCCTCCGCATCTGCCCCACGTTGATGTGACCACCACACGTGAAAAGCACACATCTGTGCATTTAGGTTTTGTGGAGTGTGGCCTCCACACACCCCAGCCACATCTGACATGTACCGTTCCAGACGAGTAAGCACAGGTGAGCCTCTCAGGAACTAACAGGTGTTTGAATGGCCCTATTTCCTAGTGGCAATTGTTGTCCAGGTAAGTAGAAGTTGATCGATAAGTAAAGTCATTTTTTCGAAAAGATTTTTGATGACAAGAAGCATTTGGGAGTATGAAATAAGGAAAATTGTTAATCTAACTTAAAATATTAAAACATTGCTTCCATTCCTAAATGTATCCACTTGAAGTATTTTAAGGATTGGGTCCATAAGACAAATAGGAGTTGTTAATGAAATCTAATTTTAATTTATATTTTAGTAATCTTTATGCATAAATATAAATTAGGAACTAATTTCATAATTATAGCTAATTGATAAAATTATAGGCTTACATTTCTCTTTCCCCCCCCTTTTTTTTTTCATCTTCAGACCATGGTTCTGAAAGCCCTGCTTAGAGGAACCCTCTAGCAACACCATGAGGATGGTGGGTGGGGAGGGTGGGCTGCCCTCCTCTCAGAATTTGTGTTGCCGGGTCCCAGGTTCATTTTATAACTTCCCTACTTGAGTTTGCTGTGTGGGTGTGCGGTAACAGTTCTCATTTCCATTAAGAACTGAGGTTAGTGACGTTTAAAAAATTCAGTTTCTGAATAAGATCTTGCAAATCGGTGCCGATCCCAGCAACGTCCAAGCCAAGCCACCCCGGAATGGCAGACCTCCTAACACGGCCACACTCTTGTCCCTTCCCTGCCCCGCTGGTTTTCTCTGTTGTCTTTTCTATTTTATTGACTTTTGCTTTTTATTACTTTGTTCCTTCTGCATTGCATGTAATTGGTTTTCATCTCCCGGCTTGGGTTTTGCCTCAAGCCTCTTTCCTCCTGGTTTCCTCTTTCCTACCTTTTGGTTTTGTTTTGTTTTATGATTCCATTTTATCTGTACTATTGCTTTATCAGCTATCCCTCTTTGTTTCATTATTTTTCAGTGGTTGGCCTAGGGTCTGCATCTTACGCCTCACACGCTACTTTAAATAAATGGCACTTTTATTAATAAATAAATGGCACTTAAATGGCACCATCTCACATGGAGCGTAAGAAGATTACAAAATCACATCCTGTCACACAGTTTATGCTGTAAACTCCACAGTGTTTGCTTTTATTTTTACCAAAGTCAATTATCTTATAAAGAAGTTGCACATGGAAAAATGTCTTCTGCTTTTACACATCTGTTTACCGTCATTGCCACTTGCCATTCCTTGGTATAGATCAGGTTGTTTCCTTCTCCCCAGAGAGCTTCCTTCATCTTTTTTTGTAATTTAAGTCTTCATGTGATGAATAATTTTGGCTTTCATTTTTCTGAAAAAGTATTTCTTTTGCTTTAATTTTTGAAAATTATAGTAGTTGGCTAATGAATTCTAGGTTGAAGTCATTCTTTCTTTAAAGATGTCTCTCCCTCGTCTGGTCTCCATTTCTTCTGTGGAGAAGTCTGCTGTCATCCTTATATCCGGTTCTCTGTGTGCAATAGGTGTTTTTCTCTGACTCCTTTTAAGATCTTCTATTTAATACTGGTTTTCAGCAATTTGATTATTATGTACAAGCATGAATTGTTTTTTTTTTTAAAGGTTGGCTCTGCTGGGGCTTTGTTGAAGTTCTGGGATCTGTGGTTTTATAGCCTACATCAAATTTGGAAAATTTTTGACCATTATTTCTTCAAGAATTTTTTCAGTCTCCCACTCTTTGGGTTCATTCAGCCTGTGTCTATTGAGCACCGACTGTGTACAAGGTACCGTGCTGGCCTGGTGTCCACAGTGGTCTGGCGTGAGGGCAGGGCAGACAGCACGGGAGAGGAGCTCGGCATCCCACTGCAGGTGCCTCTTTTTATGGTTTGCCTTTGTCTTCCCTGTGGTCCAGGCCAGCATTCTTTTAAAACATGTTAAGGCAAACAAAATATCCTCACTTTGGTTCTTTGTAGACCAGCACTCACAGTGTTTAAAGCCTCAAAGAACAGCCAGCCCCCAAAGCTCCAGCTTCATTTCGTGTTCACCTAATCCTCCTCCTCCATGTGAGACCCCACCCAGCATGGTTCACCCTTCATCAGAGGCAGAGAATGGAAGAGGAGGTTTGGGGAGGGGGCTCAGGCACTCACCGTGGAAATAGCACAAGTCAGCTCATGTCCCAGAAAGACCACGTCTGCCGCCCCTCACGGTCTGGCTGGAAGTGTGGCTTTCGGCACGGGCTGGACTGGGCTGCCGCCCCCGGCAGCTGCTCGTGACGCAGCAAGTCATGAGGCCGGGGCCTGGGTGTTTGTATAGAAGTTAAGCCTCTTCATCTCCGTGCTTGGGAATACTTTTGGAACAGGATTCCTACCTCACAGCTTTGATCCACATTTTTGTTTTTTGACTCAAAATCTTTCCTGTTCAGCAATCGAATGCAAGACAGTGTCAACAAGGCCAGAAAACAGATGGAATAGACAGTTTTAAAAAAATACGCTTTGGTCAGATCAGGTGTGGTACCTCGCAACTGGGCAAGGTGACCATTCAAGGGCTGTTCTGATTTACAGCTGAATTTTGTATGTGTTTTTAGGAGAAATATATGAAAAGTTCACACATAGAATTCAGCAGTATGTAAAAAGAATACAGACCTATGGCCAAGTGTGTTTTATCCCAATCAAGAAATGGATGAAAGACATGAAAGACGCTTCCCTGGAAAGTCAGGCAGATGAGAAATTAGCCCCTGGAAGGAGATTCAGCCTTTTGAGCCACCGGGGGTGCATATTACAACCATGACAAGGTACCACACACACCTGTCGGAAAAGCCAGAATAAAACACATGGCAGGGCTTCCCTGGTGGCGCAGTGGTTGGGAGTCCGCCTGCCGATGCAGGGGACGCGGGTTCGTGCCCCGGTCCGGGAGGATCCCACATGCCGTGGAGTGGCTGGGCCTGTGAGCCATGGCCGCTGAGCCTGCGCGTCCGGAGCCTGTGCTCCGCAACGGGAGAGGCCACAGCGGTGAGAGGCCCGCGTACCGCAAAAAAAAAAAAAAAAAAAAAAAAAACCACATGGCAAGGATGCAGGGAGACTGGTCACACACGCTGCTGTGGGGATGGAAGTGGTGCAGCTGCTCGGGAAAACAGCAGTTTCTTTAAAAATTAAACATGAAACTACCATACGACCCACAGTCACGCTCCTGGGTGTTTATCCCAGAGAAACGAAGACTTAACATTCACACAAAACCCCCTGTGTGAGTGTTTGCAGCAGACTAATAGTAATAGCTTCAAACTGGAAACAGCCCAGGTGTCCTGTAGAGGGTTGAGCTGTGGAGTATTTTTCAGCCAAAAAAGGAACAAATCTCCAGGGAATCACCGAGTGAAAAAAGCCAATCTTGAAAGGCAACACACAGTGTGATTTCATTTATGCGATGTTCTTGAAAAGACAGAATTACAGCACTGCAGTAGCAGGTTCACGGCTGTGAGCTGGGTGTGGGGGGGAGGCGCAGCTATAAAGGCACCACGAGGGGTCCCTGTGGCCGTGGAAGCGCCCAGGGTCCCTCAGCCCAGTGGAGGCCACGTGTTGGCTTTTCAAGATGTTACCATTAGAGGAAACCGTGTAAAGGCTACATGGGATCTCTGTGTATTATTTGTTAACACTACATGTGAATCTACCATTTCTCAAAAAAAAAAAAAGCTTAATTAAAAAAAAAAAACACAACAAAAAAGGACCTATTGTATAGCACAGGGAACTCTACTCAATGTTCTGTAATAACCTATATGGGAAAAGAATCTGAAAAGGAATGGTTACATGTATATGTATAACTGAATCACTAAAAACAAAACAAACAAAAAACAACCACACAACAAAATTCAAGCAAAGCAAGCAAAAACCTTCTCACAACTCTTCAGTAGCATAACTGCATTAATATAAATTAATCATCATGTGTAGTGCTGTGTATATTAGAGCAAGGTTTAAGAAACTCAGATATTGTGGGGTGACTTTTGATAGTTTCTCAGTAAGGTCACTTGGGCAGTGATGTAGGTTTGCCGACCACTCTGACCTTCCTCACCGTGTTCCTCGGCGGTCAGGGAGGTGGAGAAGGCACAGCCAGGGGATTAGAGGTTAGTGTCGTTTCCCCGAGGCCAGCCAGCCTCTGAGAGCCTTACAGGACCCTCACCAAGGGGCAGGCTCTCTGCTGCCACGGGCACCCCGGCTGCCCTCCCCCAGCCAGAAAGGAGGAGAAAGGCCCCCTCCTGCTGCTGCGAGGGGTCCCTCCCTCAGAAACCAGCCCGTTCCCTGCCTCTGAGCCCTGGGGCTGCTGGTGTCTGAGCATCAGGACCCCTGATATCTGCGGCAGGAACCAGCCTCTCTCCAAACCTGCCTCACCGACCAAAGGGCCGGACCTTTTTACCTCTGAGCAGTCTTAGAGATGTGTAAACGCGCTGCAAGCAGATACCCCAGCAGAACGTGCAGGGGGGCTTCCGTAGGTGCTGGGGCACTGTCAGACAGCAGGAAAGGGCTGCCGGGAGTCAGCGTGCAGAGCTGGGTATGCGGAGAGGGGATCGTGTCCATGGCCAGGAGGAGGCAGGGCCGGGTTCCAGGACCAAGGGTGGAAGGAGGTGGTGTTGCAGGGTACGGAAGAGGATTTAGAGGGCAGCTAGCGCAGATTCTTCCTGGGATGGGGTGTGCCCGTCTGGTGGCGTCGTGGGGTGGGGGGCCGCTGTGGCAGCCTAGGCAGAGGGAGGCGGCCAGGGAAGTGAGCTCTTAGGGCTGCGACTCTTGTTTATTTAGAGGCTGGAAGGAGAAAGTTATTGAGAAATGGGGCTGTTCCAGCGGCTGCAGTGGATTTATTTTAAGTCCTATCTGTTATTGTTTCACAGATTATCGGTTGCCAAGTGAGGAGGGAGCCCCCCAACTCCACCGAGCGATACACGCGGTGGATCAACCATCTGGCGCCCGACCAGCTGCTCACCCAGGTACGCCTGCCGTCTGCAGTTGGCCCCGGCCTCCCCAAGAGGGGCTTTTCATGCTCTTAGCACCTGTGTCTGCCTGCCTCCTGGGCGCAAGGCACAGTCCAGGTAGGCGCTCCCTGGAGAAGGGGGACAGCGTTTCAGAGGAGCCCGGCCTGGGGCGAAGCCGGAGCCAGAGGGCAGGTGTGCAGGGCACCCGCAGGCCAGCCGCGTAGGCTGAGGCGGACGGATCCAGAGGGCAGGAGGCCAGGGCTCGGGCAGCGCTGAGCTGCTGCAGGGGTGAGGTGTCCAGGAAAGGCCTGAGTGTCTGGTGGGGCGGGGCCGTCCCCGAGCAGGGCAGCTGGAGGGGGGCCGGGTCTGGGGGAATGAGCTGAGATGCACCATCTGGGTGGAGCTGGTCAGCAGACATCAGGAGCCCTCGGAGCTAGAAGAGGGCGTGGGCTGAAATCAGACTAGAAGCCACCAGGAGCGGGGCCACGGCCTGGGGGAGGAGGCCAGGAAGAGGTTCTCGGTCTCAGCTGTGGGGTCCCGAAATCCACGGGACTTCGGGTCGGTCCACGACCGTGTGTTGATGAGGTGTTGAGTGAGGACAAGAACCAAAGATCCTCTGTTCATCCACCTTTGAAAACCAGCCACTGCCTCAGCGTGCCAGCAGCCGCTTAATGCTCCGTAGCAAATCACCCCAAACAGAGACTTAAAACAGCCCCGGCTCTTGGGGGTGGGCCCAGGCCTGCTGCATTTGCCTCTTGGCCCAGCCCTGGTGCCCCGCCGACGGCAGATGCTCCAGACTCTTCCTCCTGCTGGACGAGCTGTTCCCAGGACTCACCCCGCCCGCCCCCCCCACCCAAGACCGGAGAAATGTGCTCCTCAGGGTGGGGGCCCCAGCCAGAGGGGGAGGAGTGGGGAGCAGCCCCCCAAAGCCCACCAGGAAGTAGCTCTAGAAGGCCCGGAAACATTCTCCCCCCAGTGAGGTGCTGGGGTCTGTCCCACGTTGCGATTTCCTGTGATCCCACCATATAATGAAGTGCTTTTTTCTAAACTCTGAATTTTGAAAACTGAAATCTTGGTATAATGGGATGATTTATAATGATAATCAGCTTCTGAAATTAGAGCTGCTTGTGATTATGGCATCAGGTGTTCTGTTCACTGAACTCAAAGTGACTCAGAAGAAACCCTGAGAGTTTCCTCTTGTGGGGCTGTTTCACATGCTTCTTTGGATAATCCAAGATTATTTACCCTTTCCTCTTCAGTGTTGGGTTTGCCAGTTGCTTCTGTTATCAGAATGACTTCACCAGCTTTTAAGTGCTATGCCGTTCAGGCTGGTCCACACACAGAAAAAGCACTTTTGCATTTGGATTTACTTTTCCCATTTTGAGATGAATATTCCAGTAATGGCCTGATAGCTACAGGTGGTGCACTAATAACAGGTAATAATAATAGGGGCACTAGTAACGAGTGAGGGCAGTGAGGGCACTGGAGAGGCTCAGTCACCGCTGCTCCCCCAGCCGTGAGGAAAGGAGAAGTGGCCTCCTCGGAGCTGACAGGGTCTCTGCTGTTGGTGCGGGAGCTCACGGGTTGATGTTGACAGTCATGCGGGATGGTTGCAGCTCTGTCCCGTCTGCACCAAGCGGCCCTGGATCACCGACAGCCACTGAGCGTCTGGTTGCTGCAGAGCTGTCGGGAGGGTGTCCTTCCGCGCGGCGGGGCGTACGAGCTGGTGGAGCTGTGAGTCCACAACAGCTTCAGGCCTCTGATCAGAAGGGAGTCTTCTCTCCAGGTTGTGAAGGTACCTGAAGGAGAAGCCTTCGACCTTAGCATCCCAAGTTGGGAAGAGGGCCGAGGGCTCTGGGTACACAAGCTCTGGGTACCCCTTGCATCTCAGTTGGCATTTGGATATGAGTGTGCAAACCATCATTGGCGCATGGAGAATAAGCACTGGGTCTGTGACTCCTGTCGCCATCCCTCTCCTGGTCCTTCCCTCTGTGGAGCAGGTCCAAGCCGCAGGTCACGGCTCTGGGATGTACCACCTGTTTACAAATGGCCTCCCAGGACATGCACTGATGGTTTCAGAACAAAGAATCATAGCCGCCTCAGTGAAGAGCTAGTAAGAGCTTTCATATCCTAACTGGGAAATTAAAATGTCCCACTGAGTGTGAATCCCCTGGCCTGCGGTCAGCCCTGGGTCCCCCTCAGATGCACAGCTCTGCACCTGCAAGGGGGCTCTGGAAACGCTCCCCTCAGTCCCAAGTATTAGAGGGTCTGTGAGTAAGTGTAGAGGTGGCTGCGTGAGAGAAACTGCTGAGCTGGCTTCTGCCATGTGCTGGATTTTCTGGGAGAACGTGAGTCACACAGAAACTGTGTGACTGAACACTGAGGGTATAATTTACATGCAGCACATTCTCAGCCAGAAATACAAGTTCTGAGCCGAGGGCAGACTTAACTGTTTACTGTTAAGCATCATAGAAATAATTAAGGTAGGGTGTTCCTAAACAGTGTTTTTCTTTAGCAAGTCAGGGGAAATTAAAGTATAAAGTTTCTCAAAATAAAGTGAAAGAAGATATCTCTTATTTAAGCCATTCCTCAACTGTTACAGTCACAGAAATCACCAGCACTCTGTGGGGTCTTTGTTCATAGTCTAAATTGAGTCACATTTGTGAGGTGGAGAGCAGCGTAATTTGGTTTGATATTTGTGTGTCTACTTGAATGTATGATTAGATACCCACCATGCACAAAGTTGAATCAGAGTACTATAAAATTAACACTCTGCTAATTCCAAATAAACCAAGAGGTGGAAAGTTGTCTGGACAAATGGCCTGGAGCCTGTGCCAGCCTGAAAATGCAGCTGTTTTAGGCAGTGCCCACTTTACACCTTCAGCGAGGGGCTGTTCCCAAGGGACCTGAATCTCTTGGATGGGGATGGGGGGCAAGGGGAGGCAAGGCCAGACCCCACCCCCGCCTCAGAGGCTGCCCCTGGGGGATCCTGGCAGCTCCAAGGAGGGGTTGGGGGCCCTGGCAGCCTGCATGGGTGGCTGGGTCCTTACCGAGGCCAATGAGCCCAGCCCTGGCTCCCTGGAGTATGTGCTCAGGTTCACAGCGGAAGGAAGACAGCAGGAGTGGGTGAGGCGCCCCCTTCAGCCCAGCCCCACCTGGTCCTTGTCCTCCACGCCTGCTCCCAGCTGCCCTTGCACCTCTCTCCAGGATCTGTGCTTCCTTGGTGTCTTAGCCTGCTCAGGCTGCCATAACAAATGCAATAGGCAGCTATTTCTCGCAATCTGGGGGCTGGAAGTTCTAGATCAAGGTGCCAGCAGGTGGTTCCTCCTGAGGCCTCTCTCTTGGGCGAGTAGACGTTCGTCTCCACCCCGAGTCGTCACGGGGCCTTTCCTCTATGGCTCACTCTCGGTGACTCGTGGATCATGGCTCCACCCATGACCTCATTTAACCTTAAAACCTCTTTAAAGGCTTCATCTCCAAATGCAGTCGCCTGGGGGGGTTAGCGCTGCAGTGGGCTTTGGGAGACACAATTCGGCCCATAGAGTTTGGACACCCTCTTTGGCTCCTCCACAGCCCCTGGTGGTCCCCCCTGGTCTGTGTCCCCTGCCCCTGGGCCCACAGGACACAGTGGTATGTGGACAGGGCTGCAGCGAAGAGAACAGCCCCCCTTCCTGTACAGCCTCTCCTTCGTGGCCCCGTGCGTTCCACAGGGAGGGTGTCGCCCAGCTTTCATCTGCCCGCAGCGTCTGAACAGCTTGGCATGAACGTAAATGGGAAAAATGTACAACCCACCTGCCAGCACTAATGCACAAACTCTCACTTTATCCAGTATCCAAGGACTCTAGACTAGCAAAATTTCTAGATAATTAAAGTTTACCTCTGTAAGTACAGACTCTTTACCTAAACCAGCACTCCCCAAACTTGTTTGATCATAAAATAGCTCAAAAACTTGAAAACAATGCAGATCCCTCATCTACTCCCATAGAGTTTCTGATTTAGTGGCTCTGGCAATGTGCATTTTTAACACATGCCTGAATATTTTTGATGAAACTCTTTGAGAATGTTATTCCTGCCTCGAACCTGGAGGCCAGGCTCCTGGTACCTGCACAGAGAAACTGCTTCCCCGCCGGATCGTAGAGTCATTTTACAAAGCCTAACCAATAAAAATTGTGTATTTTGAAATAACTCCAGACTCACATAGAAGTTGCAAAAATAGTAGAGTTCCTTTGTGCCCTTCACCCAGCCCCCCATTCGTAACATACCCACAGTATGATGTTCAAACCAGAAGATGCACACTGGTACAGCCCTGCTCGGAGTTCACACATTCTTGTTGGGGAGGGGTGGGGGTTATGGAATTTCATCACGCGTCTGCATCAGCACAGCCCCTGCCACAATCAGGACATTGGGACTATCCTGCACCCCAAAGAAACTGCTTGCTAGTCACACTTTGTCCTGCCCCTGCCCCTGCCCCTGGCAACAACTTCTCTGTCCCCTTCGCTGGAGTTTTGTCATTTGAGGCAGTTATGTCAGTGGAACCATGCCTTTTTCATTCCGCATTGTGCCCTTGAGATGATAGTTTGTTCCTCCTGTTGCCGAGAGAGTCCAGTTGCAGGGATGCGCCCGTCATTGTGGGGCTGTGACAAGTAGGGCCGCTGAGACCCTGATGGACAGGCTTCACTTCCTGGGATGAGCACCGGGTTTGGGACTGTGCATCTGTGTTCAAGTTGAAGTCCACGCAAGGCTCCCGGAGTGGCCGCGCCATTTCCCTCTTGGCACTTGGTGGTGTCAGATTTTTCATGCCAGTCGTTCCGTGGTGTCTCATCACTGCTCTGCCTTGCATTTTCCTAACGGCAGTTTCTTATGTGCTTATGCACCATCCACTAAGCGTCTGTTCTGATCTTTTGCCCATTTTCTTATTGGATTGTTTGTTTTCTTGCTATCGAGTTTGAGTTTCCTTTTGGACAGAAGTCCCTTGTTAGGTGTGTTTGCAAGTCTTTTCTCCTTATCTATGGCTT